AAAAGCCGTGACCATAACTATAAACTCTTTGCGAAATAATTATTTAAACTACTTTTATAACATGTTTTACATCTCTCGACTCACTAAGGGGTTCCCATAAACCCACTTAGCATAAATCTCACTTTTACTTTTTCTACCCAACCAAGCATGGTTCGGTCACTGAATTTCTGCGGACAAACTGCATACGACAAGCCTCCCATCTTTTGGTATGTTATTCTAGACTCAATTACTTTTCTAGGAAGCTATCACACGAGTCATAAAGTTCTCGTTTTCTCTGGATATCGCTGTTTGAAGTTGGACAAGCAAATCTGTCAGCCAACCCCAAAACTAGGGGTGTTCGCGGTCTGGATTGGATCGGTTTTGGAAGCAAAACTCATCCGATCCAATCCCTTCGGTTTGATTATGTAATCATCCATTCGATTTAGATTTTTTTTCAAATCCGATCCGATCCAATCCAATTTTTTCGGTTTGGATTGGATCAGTTTTCGGTTTTTTGAATATCCTAAAATTAGTTTCATGATTATTGTGAAAATAACATCTTTTGTATATATTGGCTTTGGAAAAAAAATTGAAATACAAAAATATCAGTAAAAAATACTATAGTTGATGAGACGTGACTAAGTTTTTTTTTGGGTTTAGTTGATAAGGTAATGGGTCTTGAGTTTAGAAATTTTTGGGCTATGATTGGAGAAAGGACAAGTAGAGGATAATTAATATATTGGATCGGTTTGGATTGGATCGGTTTTCATCAACCCATCCAAAAACCGATCCAATCCAATTAAAATTTGCGGTTTTCTTTCGGTTTCTGATTTTTCGGTTTTCAGTTTATTCGGTTATCGGTTTTTCGGTTCGGTTTTCGCGGTTTGAATTGGTTTGGATCGGTTGATGAACACCCTTACCCAAAACGGCTCCAAACATCCTTCACTCAATCGATTATTTTGGAAAATTCACTCAACCAATTGATCTCAAATTTTTATACAACAAACTAGACACCTCAAGCTTCAATTTGATATATCATACACCTAATTTTATCATGAAACGAAGCGGGAATAATTTTCCCAAACTCGGTCCAGAACTGCCACATGTGCAGTAACCTATCAGACCTCTGTGGAGGGAGATATGCTTTCCAAAAGTTGCCTAAATTCTGCCAATTTCTAGAAAAATCGCCAGAGTTTCCTTTGTTTTTCCAATAATCCCCAAGTTTGCAAAAGTGTTCTATGACCTCAAATCGTACCTAATAATCATTGGGTTGCACACACAAGGATTAGCAATGCCTTGGGGCTCTTACAACCCATCACAGTTTATATCAATTACTCAATTTCCATCACTTTACTTCTATTTTCAAACTTAATATATTTCAATCACCAAAATCCATTTGCATGCATTCTTTACATCATAAAACATAAATCAATCATAGAATAGGCCTATTGCCCTTTCATCATATTACATACTTCCATATTACATCAATTCATGTACAAATTACAATCTTTCAAATGACACATTACACTTTACAAATCATGACCTTCAAATGACATAATACATAATCCAAATAATTTTAACAACATCAAATCCTCATTCTTTCCATTAAGGCCGAATTGTACCTAGGCCATCACCAAGGGTGATTCGCTTCAAATCAACTATTCCACACCTCATACAATCCTATTATTACATCATACAACCATACAACAATCCAATTACACAATCCTAACAACAATGCAAAACACAAAGTCATGGCATCATCCAAATTTCCACTAAGTTATGATCACATTTCCTCAATAAATTTTATTGCATTTATAGGTCCAACACATCATTCTAAGACATAATCATCTAATACACATTTTTCATTTGAGCTCTCTAACTACACACATCAAGCATGCAAGCCCTAGGTTTTCATGAAATTAAATTATCAAATCAATCCATGAAAGGTGTTGAAACTTACCCACAATTGAGTCACAAGACTCCTCCAATTGATCTCCAAGCAATGGCTTGAGCAAACAACTCCAAAATCACAAAAATCCTCTCCATTTTCGTGGCTGACTTTGCCCTTTATCTCACTAATGAGAGGGTTTCAAGGGAAACTAATCGGTGGAATGGGTTCGGGTGGTGGTTTCCATCAAATTTGCTTATAAACTTTGGTTGATTTGGTGGTGTATTGAGGAAGTTATAAGCAAATAAAAATTTGAAGCGAGTGTTTTTTTTTTTTATTTCACATAATGGAAGGGCCTATGTGCTCCTTCCATTAAGAGGCTAACACTTGGATAAAAAAATAATTTTGCTCTCTTTCCTCTCTCCTCAGTCTTTGTTATTGGTCTAAATCACTGAGTCACTAGTGCTCAGGAGCACCAAAATTCTTCTCCACGGTTTGATGTAAAAATTTCCCCCACAGTAACCTCTACGGTTAAGGGCTATTTCAGGATGCCACCGATTGTGAAGGGTAAGTCAAGTATGTTCCAATGGCTTCTTCACTTCTATGGAAAGCACCACCCTTGAACCGTACCGAGCACAGAATCAATATTGTGTATTCAGTGAGAGGGTTCCTTTAATAGGGTGTGTGTGTACCTTCACTTTCAGAAATAAGGTGGAGTTTTGAAAAGTGGTGGTTTTTGACAACTACTAGCAGCACCCTTGTTTGTTCTTTTTCTCCCTTATTCTTTAGTGGGTGGAGGAACACTCACCCCTAATAGAAAAAATTTCTAGAACTTTTAGGGGGGGCGCTGCCCACCCTAGCACCCCCTCTACATAGGATGTCCCTTATCTATGTAGAGTGGGATGCAACATCTGGTTAAGCTTCTACGTACTCACAGCCAAGGAAGCATCGATATGTTTTTTTTGGGTGAAAAGTATGTGACGTACACCGAAACGTTCTGACACGCGTCTGACATGTGGTCAACGCTTCAACACGCGGTCAACATTTTCCTATACTTAATTTTTTAAGATCCAAATTTTATTTTATTTTATCTTTTTAACTAAACATGAAAAATTAATTTATAAATCAAATATTTTCTGTTATGGAATTTGACAAGAATAAATAACAAGGGATGAAAACATATTTTTGTTTATATTTATTATGGAAATTCAATATTTGATTTATTATATGACTTATTATAAGCTGCTATTATATCAAATGTAAACTATATTATATTTATTAAAAATGCTATTTAATATCAAAACGTATCATAACGTGTCAAAATTTTAAAATTAATGTGTCGACAGGTCGTGTCATGTCGTATTTTGTCTCTTGCGTCAGTGTCGGTGCAATATAGCTCATGGCCATAGGTTGTTCGGACCATTCCTCTCCATTGCCAATGGACATTTAAGTGAAAGTAACCATCATGATTCTAGCAAGGGGTGGTGTCCACTTATAAGGAATATGTTTAAAGGAATGTATATAATTAAGGCTAAAGCACCTTTATAAGACCTTTGGCAAAAGAATTGCCCGATTAAAGTTGATTGGACAAGTTTTTCCAAACTGATGCAATCAAACACATAACTGGTACTGGTAGGACTAGTCCTGTCACTGGTACCGACGGGACTGATGCTATGTCAGCGCCATGTAGATAATCCTATTACTGTAAAACTTCAGAAGACCATAACTTTTGATTCGAGTATCTAAATCAAGTGTTTTTTTTTTATTTCACATAACTTTTCGAGATCTACGTAATGACACCTCATTTGGCATATTTTATATCCCACAAACATAGTTTGAATTAGAAAGAACTCGGGAGCTTTTGGATTTAAACACTCTTGTGATTATGGTACTATTGTTACAAATTAGAACTATGTTTGTGGGAGATAAAATATGTTAAATGAGATTTCATTACATAGATCTCTAGAAGTTATATGAAATAAAAAAATCATTTAATTTGGATACCCGAGTAAAAAGTTATGGTCTTCCGAAGTTTTACGGTAACGGAACTGCCTATATGGCGCTGACATGACACCAGTCCCCTCAATATCAGTGACATGTTTGACTGCATTAATTTAAAAAAACTTATCCAATCAACTTTACCCGAACAATTCTTTTACCCAAAAATCTTATAACGGTGCTTTTGCGATATAATTAAGGGTGAAACCCATGTATTTGTAGATAGGTTGAAGTTGCTATTGTCGAGCATATAAGCCCTTACTCTAGGGTATCGGGCATAACTTATAACAGATAATGTGTCGGTGGAGCCCATTTCCTGCGCTGAGTCCGTTCATTGTGATGTCCTCACAATTTACTCATGCCAACATATAAAACATAGTCCAGAAGGCGGGTTATAGGCCGATTTGGAATAGCACATTTCGGAAACAATGTATCTTTACTTGATGCTCTTGGATACCATTAGAGTTCGATAACTATTCTGAAAAGAGCAAGATACCCGTCATTCAGTCTAGACTTCATACTCTTAAGAACAAGGTTGTGAAAGTAAGCACTAATATCAGCAACCATGATAAATAATATTTAAGGGCGAAAAAACTAGGCCAAGTTGAACTTCATCTTCCAGTATTGATTTGAGATGCTGAGAGTTTACAAGGGGAGCACGTCTATGCAATAGAAATTCGGATGCTTTTTTGACGTTTTTAGCAGAAAGGGTAGATAAGGCCAATCACATTATGGCCTGTTTGTTCACTATTTACATGAGCAAAATTAGACTTGCTCTAGAACAAATGTGGTTTGAAGGTTACAGTGGGCTATTCTGATGAGTAGTTCAAATTTGACTCTAACTGAAATGACCAAGCTGAAGTCTAATTTATGTGTAGAATGACAACAAATGCTCCAGGGCATGGAAAAGGGATTCTGATGTTCTAAGCTGAAAATTTCCAGAATTATCATATTATGTCCTGTTTCGTCCACATTTCTTTTCACCAACCATATTTATAACTATCTTGATCACAGAAGGTTTCGGGTAACACAAGGGTATCCTATGTTGCAAAGATAATTCAAGGCTTCATTGTTCCACCTCATCATTGTTCTAAGCAAAAAATAAATTCAACCTGACAGGCAAGAGAGACTTTGAACTTCTAATATTAGTACTTAAAAGTATAATAAATATATACTTACTGAAAAAAAAAAAAGTATAGTTAATATAATTGGACAGAAGAATCTTAACGAATATAAATCAATGAACACTAAACTTTTTTATTTAAAGACAAGTCAGCAATGCCAGCAATAAGAGCATCAAGTGAGCCTTCCTTCAAGCTCTTCCACTTCCCTGAATCATCAAAAGATGATTGAAAGGAATTCTCTGTTAGGGCTTTGTCCAACTGTTTAACTAGTTCACCTTCCTCAGATGGAATGTCCAAATCCCAGATTTTGAAGATATTCTCAGATGCATGCTCCATCTCGTAAGTTGAAGAATCCAGATTAAATCCTAAATCGATGGTTTTGTTCTCCTTCAGCTCTTCATTATAAGTTGGCAGAAAAGGATTTCCCAGAAAAGTTGAAGATGGTAATGTCCCAGTCTTTTCATTGTCTGACTCATCAGTGCTTGCTTCTATTCCTATACTTAATAGGTCAACATTGTAAGTTGAAGAAGGCTGGGATGAGTGCTCCACATCATAAGTTGAAGATTCCTGATTAAGTTCTAAACTAGTACTTTCAATCTTTTGCTCTTCATTGTAGGGCAGAATTTCAATGTCTTCTCCTCCATCAGTGCTGAAAGTTTGAGATTGAGAACTGACAATTTCTAATAAAGCATTTTTCAGAGGGATCCAATCACTATCTGAAATATCAGAATCTTTAACTAGGCAGGAATCAACCCAAGCAAGATCTTCTGGAGAAAAAACTTCATTCTGCCGAGAATCTGTGAAATTGAGAATAACAGAAGAAACTGAAACTTCATTCTCTGCCTCTTCGACATCCATGGCTACAAGTCCATAGAGATAAAAGTAAGTTAAAGAAAGAAAGCATCGTGTTAGGTGTGCAAGAAACTCAACCAATGAAACATAAAATAGACACCTGTTTCATAAATATGGCAATCTCAATCTCAACACTTTCAAAACTTCTAAAAGTATGGATAGACTCAGCATATGAGATATCATCCCAAAGGCAAAGACAGGGAAGACATGAAAAGAGCTGAATTTCTTGTTCCAAATCTAATGCATGGATTCATCAATGCAATTTGGCAAGGAAATCCATAGAACAAACAACATATAATTCTCACTAATTGATAAATCGCAAACCGAATGTGGGTGCTACCAACTTCCAACACAGTATCCAGATGTTGGTTTCCTAATGACTGAACTGGTTTAAAATATATCATGTTGAAATATAAAAGAACTTGAATATATAGAACTTCCTAAAGTCACACAAATATAACAAAGAAAACAAGGTCATAAGACTACACATAAAACAATACAAGTAATGAAGAAAATACATTGTCAAACAAAAAACTCAATTTTTGGTTGAGTGAATACAATCTGACACATGATAAAATAATGAATTGAACATCTGAATATTAAATTCTTATTTCAATCCAGAGCCATAAAATGAGTAAAGCAAAAAGGTGAATTCTTCATTATGAACAGATATCTATGTCATGGGAAAACATATCATCGTGCAGTGATGAGACAAAAGGGTACTGCTACTTCAAAGATACAACCAAAAAGGCAATGGTTTTAAGACATTACAAACAACGACCAATGATGACGAAGCATTATAATAAGTCCTGGGTCAGTCACATGGATCAAATTATTCCATTGGGCTCTATTAGAAATCAACTTTTAAACAAATCCATTCAACACATGGAATTTTTAAATGATTAAGACATAATAACCAGCAAAAAAATAAAGAATAAAGAGAGAGAGAGAGAGAGAGAGAGAGAGAGAGAGAGAGAGAGAATTCCATGGCCAGAACTCTCTGCCAAGTATGCTAAGTTGCTAACCAACTCCTCTTGAATGGAAGATGCAAGCAATACCCCTTAGAATCTATTATCCCACAAAAATGCAATTAGTTCCAAAGTCATTGCCTACTAGAGCCCTGTATAAGTATTTACGTGATTAGAGATGGAAATTGCACACATTAAAAATAGCATAAAATTCCCGCCATTCAAAGAACAAAAGGGAATTCAGATATCCTTCTGAGATCAATCTTCTTCATCTTCGTTTCTTATCTTTCACAATATCTAATACAACATTAGCTGCAGCACATAAAATGTACAGAAAGCTTTTCTTTATTTTCTTTTCCCCCTTTAATACTACAATTGCATAAATAATTTCCATTCAATACCAATTTTAACAAACAAAAATCATCAATCCAAAAAAAAAAAAATTAACAATTTCAAATTAAACTTGAAATCCTCACCCCCAGCCCAAATTAAAAATAAATAAATAAATAAATAAAAGAGAAGAAAGGGGGAAGAAGCACAGAAAAGCACCACTCACAAGGTTTTAGGGTTTAACACACTAATGCCTCTGAACTTATATTCACAGTTTATGTTCCCAACAATCAATCAACCAGTACAGTCTGAAACCATTTTGTACCAGAAACATCGAACAAATAACTAATTAAGCACAAACATGCAAAATTCCGAATCAAAAATTTCAAACAAACAAAGATCAAAAAAAAAAAAAAAAAACATGAAGATAGATGAAAACCTTTTCTTCCCCAAAAATACGGTGCGACGAAGGAAGGAAGCAACAATCTGGGAGACCGAGAATCCGTTAAGATATTGTTATTCTTTAGCCTGAATTCAGGTAAAAGACAAGTATTTGGCAATTGAAAAATATAAGTTCAAGTTAAGTTCATCCTTTCTCTCTCCTAAGCGTGATGTCACTGTGTTTAAGAAGAGTATTATATACAGCTGGTAAAATGGGTCAGCCCGTCCCGGCCCGCCCAGCTCCGTCAAAAATGAGTTGACTCGTTTTATTCTGCATTTTGATATGGGTTGAAAATTTTAACCCACTTTGTTTTGGGGTGGGTTAGCGGATTGGCGGGTCAACTTGTCTAAAAAATAAAAAGTAATTAAAAATTAAAAATAAATTTTATTTTAATAATCTTATAATATTTTTTATTTTCATTTCACAATTCTTTTAGTATTTTTTCAATCTCAAACCTAAATGTATATTAATATTCGACTTTTTGGCCCTTTTGTCCCTCATTAATTAATTAATAACCAATTTTCCCCTCCCCAAAACTATCCATCATCCTGCCCTTATTTAGTCGATCAACTTGCACTTTTAATCGACTAAATGGTCAAAATTCAGAAAACATGAATCACGAGATTTAGTCGACTACATCCTCACCTTAATCGACTACATTTCAAGCACTTTTAATCGACTAAGGACATTATTTAGTCGATTAAAAGTCGCAGATCTAGTTTTTTTTAAAAAAACCCATTTCGCAAAGGGGTTATTTTCAAACCCTAGTCGATTAAGAAGGCTCCAAGAACCCCTCTCTTCAACCAAGTCCGAATCTCATCCCCTTGAAGGTCTGATTGCACCATCATTGGTTCACAACTTGCGAAATTGACATTGTAGGTAACGTTTTCTGACTTGCATTTGGTTTTAAGTTTTGTTTTTTTTTTGTTTTCTCCATGCTTTGGTTTACTATTTTTTTAAATTTCTTGTTTATGGTATAAGGTTGTTTGAGTTTTTGCGGCTTTATGTTAGGAGTAGGGTGTTGAGTTTGATGTGAGGGTTAGGGCTAGGGTTTATGTGTTAGGTTAGGGTTAGGGTTAGGGTTTCTGTTTTTTGTTAGGGTTTAGGCTTAGGGGTTTTGTTTGTATGTTAGGGTTTAGGGGTGTGTTGGTTGTTTTATTGTAGGGTTGGGGTTAAGGTTAGGGTTAGGGTTTGATTTTTATATTGAATGTTGAAATTTTTTGATATTGTTATTGTCCATTGATATTGGTTCCACTTGCATTGTAGGTACCGTTGTTCCCATGGCTGGCCGTAGAAGATCGGATAACGTGGGAAATGAGAGACGCACAAAGGTACGACAAGACCGGCCGTCTTCGTCAAGGCCACAAGACGAAGAGCCTGCTCTTGTCGACCTCCCATTCGAATACTTGTTCGAGCATGACCCCTTGGTTCATGATGCATTTGTCCGTGACCATGCTAACCGACCCATATGTCTGGCCAAATCACTTGATACAACATTTTTTGAAGCGGAAGGTTTTAACATTGTGAGCTGGTTGGAGGGAGCACATCTTAGGGTTTTGGCTGAACTGTTGTGTCCATATTCAGAGCTACACGACGGGCCTTCTACCATAACCTCAGCTACGTACAAGGTGAGCTGAGGTCGAGGGTCTGCGGGGTGGAGATCATCATGACGGCTCCGGTATGGTTGGAGTTACTGGGGTATGACTTTGATTCTGCGCAGACTGTGGAATATGACGCAGATAGCAGTGTCACACTTCCAGGATATACACGAGGTGATGCCGTGCAGGAGCAGAGAAGAGTCTGTGGGCAACACATGCACTATACGGTTGGGTTGCTTACTGTGGAGTCTTGTATACTACACTATGTCATCACCCACATTCTGTTTCCGCGAGCGTTCAATCACTCCAGGGTGTTGGAATATGACATTCCCATCATATGGGCTATCCGACATGGTACTTCAGTGAACTGGAGGCACTACATCTGTTGGACGATGTTTAAGGCCAAACACAAGGGTGCACTTCCATTTGCTTGTCTTGTTCAGAGGATATTGGGTCACTTTGGTGTTCCCATAGGCAATGTGACCTTGAAGAAGACCACAAGGTATAATTGCAAGTTTGGAAAGTGTCTACTGGAGTAGTGCAAGATGACAAAGAACATACAAACGAGTGTGTGGCAGTTCACAGGTGCGGCTGATGTTGAGGTTACTGATGTTGCTCCACTTGCAGACATGGTTGAGCCCGAGGTGGAGGATGATGATGACGATGATGATGAGACTGACTTGCAGGATATAGCTGAGCCTGAGGGTGGGTTTTCATTGCGTGATGTCATGAAGGGCATAAACGCCACGATGAAGAAAATAAGAAAAATGGCGCTGAAACACAAAAAATGGAGGAAGAGTCACATCCAGAAAGGGACTGAAAGGTTTAGACACGTACAGGGAAAGTTCAAGGGTGTTGAAGATAGGCTTGCTAGTCTAGAGCTTGGACGAGGACAGCAGGTTGAGGATGTTGCAGGGCAGGGGGCTGATGTGTCAGATGAGGATGACGAGGAGACAGCGTCCAAGGAGGAGGAGGATTAGATTTAGGGTTTATGTTTTTATTTTACGTTTGTAGTGTATGTTGTTATGTAATTGACTTCGCTCTTCCTATTTGACATTTGTAGTTTATGTGGTATAATGTTTAGGGGCTGAACTATTTAATGTTATCAACTTTGTTGTTACTTATTACTTATTTATGTCATTTTCATTGTTTACCACATGAAGGATCATGGTATTTTTCCATGAAATTTTTCAATTTGGGTCTAATCACAACCCAACAGGTCTAAAATGTCTAATGCAACTCAGAACAGTCACTCATAAGAGAGTTAAATGACTTTACCAAGTTTTGGGTACCCGAAACCAACATTTAGCCAATACATGTACATATATGGTTTATAACCGCCACGATACTTTTTTGTACCCCAAATTATGTTCCCCAAGTCATAATATGCGTGTACATTAGTGTCCAATCGGTTCCATGCCAAAAAAATTCGAGGAAAACAGAATGGGGTGCCAAAACCTGATATGTAGTCGATCAACATGTACTGGTTTAGTCGACTACAATGTTATGAGTTTACGCTCCCCGAAACTTGGTGAATTCATTTTGGGGTCATATTAGTAATTGTTATGAGTTTCAATCTATCAATATGGGCCAATATTACTAATTTGAATACAAATCAACATACAAACAACATAAAGTAACATACAGTACACATTGTAACATAAAGTTTCATAACATAATTACATGAACTAAACCATAAACACATTAGCTCCCTCCCTTGGTGCTCACTAACATCAACTTCATAAATACATGCATAACATTGGTTCAACTCTGTCTAATCCTCATAGGGCATGTACGTTTATTGTGACCAATTTGCTTGCAGGTGCTGCATCTACTTTGACTGCTTGTGGGTTGGGACTCAACCCAATCCATCTCATTCTGTATCCTTGTAGACTTCGGTCTTCCTTGTGCACGAACCAAAGATGCATTTGGGAAATTGTTGGACCATATATTTCTGGAATCAACAACTCATTACCCATTGGATACCAATGTGCAGCATAGACCTTCTCAATTTGTGTAATTGAGAACAGAGGATCGACATAGTCATAGTGGTTCAATTTTTCAACCTTGCACACCGCTAGCACATGATTGCAAGGAAATCGTCTAGCTGTGAATCGTCCACATTGACATTTACGATTTAGCAAGTCAACCCTCATAATGTCGCCGGCATCATGCGTAGATTGATTGTAGGCACCCTCAACTTCAAACAACTGCAAGTCTCTATCAAAAACATGAACTCGGAGACTGACAGTAAACTGATCATTCTTTTGTAAGAAGTCCTCAACCTTTTTTGCAATTCTCCAGCCTTTTTCCTTTGCTTTTTGGATCTTTTCACGCCTCTTGACAAAATACTCAACAAGTCTACTTTGCGTATCTTGACCAATGCCATTACTGGCAAATTACGTGCACCCCTTAGGACCTTATTGATACACTCAGATAGGTTAGTTGTCATATGACCAAACCTTCGGCCCTCCTCATCATAAGACCTGCACATTGAATGAGTTATACATAAACAGCATTACATACAACATGTACACATTCACGAAAATTGTATACCTAGTTTCATCAGCGTTTTCTTCAGTTCCACGTCCCTAAACTTAGTGTTAAAGTTGCTTCCAATGTGACGAAGACAAAACACATGATACGCAAATGGAGGCTGCCAACCGGCATGATCCTTCACAGCCCTGATGATGCTGGGGTGACGATCAGATATTAGACATAGACCATGCCTATGTGTGACATGGAAACGCATGAGGCTAAGAAACCACAACCGATCATCCAATCTCTCACCCGGTGGAACAATGGCAAACACAATAGGCATAATGTATCCATCACCATCCTGTGACGTAGCAATCAAGAGGTACCTTTGTATTTCCCGTACAGGTGCGTGCCATCAATTTGGATTATGGGTTTACAATGTTTGAAAGCCTCA